TTTCCTTCAGTTTCTAAGAGCTTAATCTTTGGACAGAATGGCCAAGTGTCTTAAGTTTTCCTTTTAGAAAGTGATTCTTTAATAAATAAATGTGACATTCTTCTTGTAAACGTAAATTAGGAATTTTTTTAATTGTTGTTAAAGATGCTCAGGTCATATTCTATCAGAACAACCTGAAAAATCAGTAAGGATCACCAGCGAAGCCTAGTTCAATGTTTCAACATACAGATTAACTTGATACTCATTCCTTACTATCTAGTCATTGTATTACCAAATGAACTTAGAGAGTCCAGTGCAAATTAATTCTCGTTTAGATTTGATAGCCAAGTACACACAGAAGCATCTCTGCAATTCTGACATCAGTGAAATGTTAATACAAGAAGAGACATGCATTTAATTTAAAAGTTTGATATTTTGTTATTTACTGCCTGGAAAAGCTGAAACAGAAGATAAGATTGATAGTTTTCTGGTTATGGGAACCTGGACGCCTGCATTGTGGGTGGCTCTGTGCTGAAAGGGAAAGAGGTTTTGTCGTACCACAAAGGCGTCTATCAATGAGTCTAAGTAATACGAAGTGTGGGTGGTAAGGCATGTTAACTGAGGTTGGTCTCGATGTTAATGTTGCTCTAACTGGTGATTTCCTTGTTTTTATAGTGATTGCATTAATGAAAAATGCATTTAACAAACTTTATTTCTGAACTAACAAAAACAGGTCAGAAAACTACCTACAAAAGCTTTTTTTGGTTCTGTTTTCCATTCAAAGTTTGTTCTGATGAAAATGTTCCACTGAGCAGCTGTAGAGAACCAGGTTTTATTAAACACAATGACTTTTTTTAATTTTAAATTGGCAACAAAATGTTTTATAAAGCCTGCAGGAGGCCAGATACTCTGTCACATCCCAGGCCCCCCACATGGGTTGCCATCTGACACCTCCACACGTCTGTGTGTGAGGACTGAAGTATCTTCACCTGGCAGAAACCTGGCCATGGGGAGTGACACAGAGGCAAAAGAGACTCTTGCATGTAGTGAAAAAAGAACTGTTTTAAATCTTTAGCAGTTTCCTTAGTTAAGCTTATACTTGACTAGTTTTCTGCAATTAAGGAAATGAGTCTGCTACCCAGCTCACCAGCTTGCTGTGAACATCTTGATGCTCTTCTCTGATTCCTTGCTCCCTGGACTTCTTGGATGACAGAACCAAGCGTGTGCCCTCTCCTGGACTAATGTCCTCATTGTTTCAGATATTCTGTTATTTTTATTCCCTGTAAAGACTTCATGACTTCTTAACATGTAAGAATTAATGGCACAGTAGTGAATGAAGCTGAAGGTAGAGGGTATAGTGGAGAACATGAAACAAAGGCATTGAATCCTAGTTTACCCCAAAAACACTGGATCGGCAGCAGAGCAAGGAAGAGAGCAATCTGGAAATATGTGAGGTGGTAGCACATAGCAGGCTATCCAGTTCATCTTTTCAGTCCTTTCCTTCAACACTGCCCTGTTTCGTTGCATCATATCCAAATTACAAATTCCTCTTTAGCTTCGTGCCTCACTACTTACAAAGAGCTCTTCCTTCTCTTCTTGTTTTACCTTCTACAAATCTGCTGTAGTTTTCCACAGTAAGTTTCATTCAACCATATCTAATAATATAACCAGTGAACTGTAAATCTAGCTTTCAATGGAGCTACTTTAATTCCTAATGGAGAAGGTATATATAAGCTTGTAATGCTTCTACTGGATAAATCATAGAATCACAGAATGGTTTGTGTTGGAAGGGACCTGAAAGATCATCTAGTTCCAACCCCCCTGCCATGGGCAATGTCTTCATAATAAGCAATTTAATAAATAAGCAATGGCACTGTAGTCATGGAGTCAGTTGGTACCTCTGTAATAATAAAAACTCAGAAGTTGTTACAGTTAGTCATTTCCTTAGAAATCTAACCTTAATGACACTTAATGGATGCCTGCTTGTTACATAGTTTAATCTATAGTTGAGAGCTCTGAAGGCATTGCATTATGAATGTTTCACATAATCAGATATTCCTTTAAATGTTAAATGAATGTCATTTTTCTCTGTTGATTTATATACTATATGTGATTCTGTAGAGTTAATTTATAATTGCCAAGTGTTCACTTCTGTGAAATCAGGATAACCTTAAGCTCTGTTTGATTTTTCTACCTCTCCATTACTGTAAAATAGATATTGATGAGTGCCGGATCTCCCCAGACTTATGTGGAAGTGGTACTTGTGTCAACACTCCTGGAAGCTTTGAGTGTGAGTGCTTTGATGGTTACGAAAGTGGATTTATGATGATGAAGAACTGTATGGGTAAGTGTTTCCAGGATGACCTGGAGTCGGTCCATTTACTGTACAAAGCCTGACTGTACTCTGTACTATACTGGCTCTGCTTCACTCCACACTTCGTATGTATAATTATTGTGACTTCTTGGACAAGTGAGACAGATAAACAGTTTATAGGACAGATAATTGAACTATGCATATAACTTTCTTGTTCTTTTTGCTAATTACTTTTACACATTCCTGTATAGATATTTCAGAATGGTAGCAACTATTCATTCATGTAGTTTAAAAATGGTTAATGAAGGATCCAAACATTTGATAAAATTAGGAATAGAAGGCTGGAGTTTCAAAACTAGTGTAATTCACTTTTCCTCGAATTTTCTAGGACTCAGGAAATTCTGAGAGCATTTCCTGCAAAGTCACGTCTTTTTAATCTGTCTGAAGTTTAACAATAGATATAGAGACACCAAAAGTTGCTAGCCACCTTTAAAAATCTTGAGTTGGTATTGTGGGGTACTTCGTGAAATACATAATGAAATAATATGTAGTGAAAATAAAAAGTCTGAGATTGTCATCTTGATGAGACTAAATGGGTCCTCCTCCTTACCCTTCTTGAAGATTGGATTGACATTTCCTTCTCCTCCCACCCTAAAGATCCTTGCCTAATTTCCATGGCCTTTTAAGGATGGTCAGGAGTGGCATCAAAATTGCATTGGCCAGCTTTCTCTCAGCAGTCATGGGTCTTTTCCATGTCCTTTGTCAGCAGTTCCCTTTCCCCATTACCCTTCATCTTTTTGCTGCTGCTGTTACACCCTTCACAGCCCTTGCCAGGGTGAACTCCTGGTGGCTTTGGCTTTCCTAACCCCATCCCTGTACACTCAGACAATGCCTCTGTATTTCTCCCGCATCACCTGTCCTTGCTTTTGCCTATTTTATGCTTCCTTTTTGTGTTTGAGTTTTGTAAGGAGCCTTTGTGCTTGTCATTGAACTCAAATAAGTGATCCTATGCCCCTGAGTGCCAGGAGGCCATGCAGGCCTCCTGTGTCACCTGTACTTGATTTCTTGCAAATTGTGATGGTTTTAGATTCCAAAAGTCAGCAAAAATCATTGCCTGAATCACAGATGAACACAACAAAGAACTTAAACTGTGGAACCTGAATAGCCTTCATGAAAGACATAGTACAAATACAGAGAATCAATACTGTGTGAAGGAGATACCTGTAACATATAGGCAAGGAAGCAAGATGTCACATAAATAAGTGGAGAGTACGTGTCCTGTGTCTCCTAGAATACTTAATTTTGAATGATGAGTTTCTGGTTTGCCTGAGAGGAAAAATAGTACATTTTAGAGTTAATAATGTGTAGGGTTTTTTATTGGCACTGTTATGCAATATGAGGAAATGAGCAGCACTGCTTCAATGAAACATTATTTTATTTCTGACCTCCAGATTTCGTCACTTACAGACATTGAGCATTGCTTTTGTATTTATCGCTCCTTAGTAATGATTTTGTATTTGTTTATCGTGGTTTCTTCACAGATATTGATGAATGTGAACGCAACCCTCTGCTGTGTAGAGGTGGCACATGTGTGAACACCGAAGGGAGTTTTCAGTGTGACTGTCCTTTGGGACATGAGCTGTCACCATCACGTGAGGAATGCATAGGTGAGTTTCAACTCAGAATAGTAGTCTTCAGCTTCCTAAGAAGAGTGGTCATTTGTGCTATGAAAACTTCTTGTCTCTGGCAAGGATGTGGTCTCAGGAATGTCTTACACAAATTCATGCTCCTCCTTTATATGAATATCTTCAAATTAAAACCTTATAACAGATCCTGTAAAATCTCCAGTGCCCTTAATGCTATTGACTTCAAAGAGGAGTATTTTATCAGGGCTCTTAGGGATTATTTAGTAACTCAAAGGACTGTGCCACTCATGATGGCAGCTTTCAAGTAAAAGACATACAAGCACAAAGTGAATTTCATTCCTATAGTCACAGAAAAGTATTGTCCCTTATTGAAATGCAGCTCTCCTTTTTGCACGTAATCACCAAAATGGTGGGGAAAAAAGGCAAAAACCCATAATGCATATTATTTCTTTTGTTTCTGTTTCATGCATCATTGCTTCAAGAAATGATTTAAATGAGCAGACTGTGCAATTCATGCTCACAGACCAGAAACAAATCTTTGGACAGTGGCTTAAACATACTGTTCAGAGCTCCGTACCTTGAACTGGAGCAGGCTAAGCATGAGAAAGAAGTTGAAAAAGCCTGAAAGCTACCAGTTTAAAATACTGCCTCTCATCCTTTTTCTCTGGCATTTGAGCAGAGTCTGCATTCTGAATTATTCTTTTCCAGATGTAAATGAGTGCTCGTTAAGTGACAATCTCTGCAGAAGTGGCAAGTGTGTGAACATGGTTGGAACATACCAGTGTTCGTGTAACTCTGGGTACCAGGCTACTCCTGACAGACAAGGCTGCATAGGCAAGTGTTATACACCTTCACCTATGTATTTGTGCTTCAGCGTATATTCTTTCCTCTGTCTTTGGTTTTATTTTATTTCTTACCTTCCTTTTGAAGCTGAGCAGGGCCAACTTCTCATCTGCTATTAAGCAAATCATGAACTATCATGGACCTTTCTTTTACCTTAAAAATATAAAGAAGATATAAAAAGATTGTTGCTGTACTGAACTCTGCAGAATACTTTGAGAGAAAAAATTCTTATGGTATGACTCCATTAAAATCAGAAGCTTTAGCTAACAACCAGAAAATATTCCTTGATTTCTTGATCAAGCAAGAACAGCCCCATGCATTTAGTTTCTCTTTCACTTTTTCTCCTTATTGTGTACATCTTGTACATCCTTCACTATAGTAATACTGAATTATGTGGTTGTCATCACATTGGTAATGAGAACAGAGGTGTTGAGAGTTTTTTTTTATTTGTTGGTTTTGTTTATTTTTTTTTCACAAATATAAATTTTTGCTACATTTCAAGCTTTAATGAAACCTAAATTTCTGAGGGCTTTTCTTTCTTTCCTTTCCACATGTTGTGTTTTGCACTTTTTTTTTTACATCTGTAGTAATACATATGAACAGAAGCAACAACAAAAAGTAGACAGTTGCTCCCACAGATGAAAATGTATTTGAAAGAGAGAAAGCTGAACAAAATATAAATCAGAGACGGTAGAGTGAGAATAAAAATTCAGAATCATATCACTGATAAACTGTTTCATCTGTTAAGTAAAATGGCAAGAGAAGATGACTTTTCGTTATAAAAGTAGACTTACTACTGCTAATATTGTTTCCCCAGATATTGATGAATGTATGATAATGAATGGAGGCTGTGACACCCACTGCACTAACTCAGAAGGCAGCTATGAATGTAGCTGCAGTGATGGCTATGCTCTCATGCCAGATGTCAGGACATGTGCAGGTAGGTTTTAATATCTTAGAAGTTCCAGCAGCGTATCTTTCAGCCGATATGACATGGTATTCTTTTAGCCGATCCGTACCAGAGTGACAGAATTATTATCTGCTTCCCTCCCCCCCAGATATTGATGAATGTGAAAACAATCCAGATATCTGTGATGGTGGGCAATGTACTAATATTCCAGGGGAATATCGCTGTCTCTGTTATGATGGATTTATGGCTTCTATGGACATGAAAACTTGTATTGGTAAGTGGCTGTATGCACCAAATTTAATGCAAGTCTAAAAACTCCGCAGCTAATGTTTTAGAATGTTTTGCTGAATCCTTAAAAATGGGTATTGAAACTATGTATGTTATAAAACGTAAATGTATAGGTCTTTCTTGCCTATCAGGCAAGATGTCAGGAAGGGTAGAAGAAAAAATTGAAAAGTCCATAAAGATGAATCACATAGTTCCAAAAATAGGAGTGATTTAATTGTAATTATGTGATTCCTCTACAATATCTCTATTGACGTTGAGTGTCACAGCATTTTCTTCTGTCTCTTGTAAATATTTTAGATTACTGCTTCAACTAGAGAAAGTTATGAGTAATTATAAAGGAAATTAAAATAAAACTATCTCCTCAAATTAACCTAACCTGTTTAGTTTATCTTGGTGTTTATATGAAGTTCTTACCTTTTATATTTAATATAAAGTTTCATATGTATCGTATCGATGTTATACTAACAAAATCTTTTTGTATTTTGTGAGCATCTGTTAAACAAACCTTCACTTCGCACGTGTGCACATTCACACAGACACACACACTGAGGAGAAACTATGTGTAATGCTGAGCAAAGCTGGCCCGAGCTGGTTTTGTCTCTTTTCTTCCACAGTTAGCATTGAGTTTCAGATTTTCTTTTCACCTTCACTTTTGTGTTATTCCAGGTTCTTGTTTTCAGTTTTGCACACATACCCATGTTTACACAAACAACTTGAAAGTTTAGAACAGATCTTTTCATATTTTTTTTTCATATTAGCCATCTTATAGCTGTAAAATTGGAATTTTTTTCTTCATTTTATGCACAACTGCTCTTAAATGTTCTTCTCTAGGAAAACAGTATCTGATATTAAGGTTAGAAACCTACAGTGAGAAAGTGTGAATTTTTGCCATGTAATTGCTTTCCTTGCTAATAACATCATCTAGTTTGTCAAAAAAAGCCTTTAGGGTAACTACAGTTTCTTACTGGACCTAACTACTTTTAACAAAGTACTTGATTTTTTTTTCAGCAGAAATATTTGCAGTATCTTATATTTATTTGACAGTATACTGTGAAATTAGATGATCTTTGACATTTAACTAGTGAACTTGGAGCTGTTTGAATGAAGTCAAAAAGGTGTAACTCATACTAAGACTATGTTTTAGCTAAAAGTTTTTAACCAGATCTTTAATTATAAACTATTTAGCTTTTAGATGAGGTAAATTCGGGAATAATGTTAAAGGCTTTTATTATAGTCGAAAGCCTATTTTGAAGATTTAGCGTGCAGCATAAGAATCTAAATCACGGTTAAGGTACAAACTGCATTATTTTTTAGGAGAGATTTTCTTCCTAATGGAAAGGTTTCATCATATGTGCAATACTAAGTGAAATTGTGAAGAACAGGGAGACATCAGTAGCAAACTTGCCTCTCTCTTGAGACCAGTCTGCATCAAGGCAGCAGGTGCTGAACAGTCACATTGTTGAGGTGTCTGGGAAGGGAATCTGGCAAACAGCACATTTACAGTCCTGATGCCCTGTTTTTCCTTGTGACTGTTTTGTTTGGGTTTTTTTAATATGGTTGTGGGAGAACTTTCCTGGTTGTGGCGTATCACATATTCTTTCTGCAAGGGTCTTTCCCCACTCCACCTGCAGCCTGACTTCTCCTTGAATGTTACCTGTGTGGTGGCTTTGTGTCTTTGTATGTGCCAGAGATAGCTCTAACTTCTGGAAGATTTTCTTCTCAAGGGCATACTCTTAACATCTCTGCTCTTTTTCCTCTCCCAAACTGGCTTTCAGCAACACCATTAGGACAATGGTAATTGACCTTTTCTTTCATTCCCGCTTAACCTCAGCTTTGAAAGACATTTTGATTTTTATTCCTCTCTTGAAATGTCTTGAAGTTTCTTTCAGCATCTTTCACCATCAGAGGGACTTTGTTTGTTGTCAGCAAGGAGTTTGCCCTGCCACACATACATAGACACTTGGGATGATTAACAGAAATTACTTCCTACCTATATATTTTCTAATGGCTTAGCACAGTAGTAGATATAGGTCTATACCAAAAAGCTGCCAATGATTCACAGGCATTCTCCGACACCTAAATGGAAGGCTGTGCCAGAGCTATTCATAGTCACGAGCTACTAAGAGAAGGAATTTGAAGTAACCTTGTGGTGCTAAAGAGTTTCCTATTTGATACGCTTCATAGTTCGGGCTTTTCCAGTGGGATTTTGGAAGAAACAGGTAAATTCATATGTTCCAGGGGTATCTCAGCAAGCAAAACTAGAGAGGTAAGTCTGCAGCTCCTGCAACTGAGGAGACTTAGAGCCTGGCAGCTTTCCTTTGCCACATAGTGTGACAACTGAATATACTAGGGAAATGCAGGTTGCTGTAATGAGAGTATTTAGAAGATCAATGAAATCATTTAATAACAACACATTTGCCAATAGTCAGTTCTTAGACAATATTGATGATTGTCACTGCACATACAAAACCTTAGATTTTAGCAGTCATATTCTAAATTATATGCAAGTATACAATACTACAGAGCTGTTATGGTAGTTTGCATTGACTGGCTTCCAGCCCTTGGAGTTACTTAGTCATAAAGTTCAAGGTGATCAGGCTTGAGTCGTTTGAGACCTGGAGCTGAAGTGGATCTGTCATCTCCAATTTTTCATGCTTGTTTTTAGGCTATTGCCCTGCTGACAAGAGGGAGGGCCCCTTCTGCTCCTTGTAGGGCTTATCTTGTTTTCTTGTCTTGCCAGTCATTCTTCTGGTGTACCTGTTTCCTGCCTATACGTAATCCCTTGTGCTTCTGCTGTCCTTTTTCTGGCAACTTCTGTGACTCTGATGTGTCCTACATGCAGCAACACCCATCTTTCTTTGTCCTTTTGGCAGTCTTGCTCACGTCCTTAGGCAAAACTGTGTCTGGCTGTGCCATCACAGTGTTACACAATACTTACATGCTAATATTACACTATTTTAGCGTGCTTATATTGGGGTTTAAGGCAAGCTACTATTGATTATGTCCCCATTAATACACTTTTAATTTATGTGATGTGCACCTCTGCTTTGGCTGCCTCACGTGACATACTACTTCACTCAAAAAGACAACTACAGATATCACAAACACCTTTTTGTCCACAGTCCAGTGACTCTCTTTAATGTCATAATATAATACTGTTAGTTAATATCATTTCAAGGGACAAATAGAAATAGTGGACAAGGTATTTGAAAAGCTCTTGAGCCATATGGGCCCACTGCAGTATGACTTAGAAGACTCATGTGAAATTCCTGAGTTACCCGCTTGACAGGTGGCCAGTTCTAGTTTGTTCTTATTCCAGTTTCAGTGCTTCATAAGATTCAATGTCTTTCATAAGTGGGTCTTATTAAAAAAATGGATTGAATTTACTTTATTGTTTTTTATAATTTTTACAAGTGCTGTTCAGAGGTATTGACAAACTTGTGTGTATCATTATTCAATTTTAAATAGTAGTCAGAATGTGCAAATTGAAACCTGTAGATGAGATCAGTACAGGAAAAACTAATCAATTTACTGTATAAATTCTTCTTTGGAAGAAAATTATAGCTATATTATGATCAAGAGTGTGTTTTAAAAAAATGCTTTAAAGTGATTCTTGTAAGAAGCAATTGACTTCATAGTCCAATAATTAGCATTCTAATTAGAAGACATTGGTATTTGGACTATGTTTTTAGGGAACTAAAAGAATACAGAACAGAATGGCTGAAATATATTACGGTGAAGATTAATAACATGTCATAGGGGTGGACCATGCTTCTGCTAATTTCATCTGAATGAAAGATGAAGAATGCTGTTAAATGACAGTAATGTTCAACTAATAATGAATTTATGTGACTTACAGATGTGAATGAATGTGATTTGAATTCCAACATCTGTATGTTTGGGGAGTGTGAAAATACTAAAGGCTCCTTCATTTGTCATTGTCAGTTAGGATATTCAGTCAAGAAAGGAACCACTGGATGCACAGGTAAAGCAATTTTCTGGCATATATGTCATGGTGCGCACATATGTTGATTGGCTTTCAGTTAAAATAAATGCACAAGTGTTCACACACAAGTGAGAGATGGGTATCTGTACATAGTAGTAAATATAAGAGTAAGTATTTTATGTTTGTCATCATGTATCCAGAGTTTGAAAAGGTATGTATCCTTGTATCAGTATCAATACGATATGAGAGGCCACTTATATAGCGGTAATTTTAAAGGCAAAGTTTTTTTCAGTACGGATTGAGGGAATATCTGTGGTACAAAACATAACTTGGATGGGTGCATTTGTATTAGACTATTTTATCAAAACTAATTTGTTAGACATACTTAAAGTATGAACTCATCTGTCAGCTGGCACTGCAGGAAATGACCTCGTAGTCTTAATAACAGGAGAAAAAGAAAAAGTAAAAGAAAAGAATAAAAAAAAAGTGATGATATAAAAGGGAAAGTACATGCCATCCTTTAGCCCATGCTAACAAAATTTTAGAGAATCAAAGAATCATAGTGAGTCAGTATCAAATGCTATGAGTTCCTGTGATAGTTAAGGGGTACATTGTCTTCTGCAAGCTGGATCAGCTGCATTCAGGAACCTAAGTTCATCTAAAATTATTCTTTTCGGAAAGTTGACATTTCTCCTATAATTTAGTCTTTAAGAATTTGCTCTATAATTACTAAAATCTCAGGCTAATAGTTTTTATAACTGATACATGCCCGTGCACCCAAAGATCTTGTCCCATTTTAAGACATATAAAGATCAGCATATTTAACAGGTCTGGAAAATAACTTTAATTTCAAACTGAAAAGCAGTTGTAGGAAAGCAGACTAATTTTGTCACGTTTGCAAACAAAGAATAGAATGAAAATACATTTGTCACTTTTTTATTAATGTATAATACAAAGTAACTTGCTTGAATTATTCTGTAGTCTTGAACATTTGTTTTTAAAGGACTGCAAACCTGCACAGTGGAAATAAGGAACATGTAAAAGGAACATAATTTGTAATATTCTGGTGCTGAAGTAAATACTAATAGTTTATTTTGTGCTTGTAGATGTGGATGAGTGCGAAATTGGTGCTCACAACTGTGACATGCATGCCTCATGTGTCAATGTACCAGGAAGTTTTAAATGTAGTTGCAGAGAAGGATGGGTTGGAAATGGCATTAAGTGTATTGGTAAGTATACAGAAAATAAAGCTTTTCTCTTCTTTCTTTTTTTCTTTTCTTTTTTTTTTTTTTTTTGTTTTGTTTTCAAAAATGAAAGTATATAATGTGACTGTGTGATTACTCCATTAGAAACAAAGTATTCTTCTGTCTGTAGCACTCTATGGTTAGATGGGTATGCAAGATTCTTATGTTTCAGGGGTTTGGTTTTCTGAGAAAAAAACTGGTTTTGCCTCAGAAGTCTATGTAACATCTTACTGAATCAACTATGCATTTTACAACGTTTGCATACAAGTGCTAGAATGTGCAGAAAAAAAAAATCAGTTAAAAATAGAATAGAATTTGTTTTGTGTTTTCCTGCCAGGAAGGTATTGTTTCTGTTACTTAATACCGTGTTTTGTAATTGTCCTGTAGTATATCTGCTTTATAGGCCTTAATGTAAAGCAGATTGGACTTCAGGTATGGGAAACTTGATCCTACTTTTGCTGGGCTGCTGGAGTAGCATCACATCCCCTTGCCTTCATTTTTTATTCATTGGTGTGTAAAAGATTGTAATAGTAACCTTTTTTTTCTGAGCATTTGGGGATCTGTGGAACAGGAGTTTCATTTAAGAATTAGGCTTTATTGGTATAATATGTTAAAGAAAGAGTACCATATTATGAGATTTTACTGCAGGACAGATTTTCTAAGCTTTTTAAGCCGTATTTGAAAGAAAGGGGAACGCCCTCTGGTCTTTATTACTGTCATTTAATTAAAAATATTTGAGATTCAACTAAGTAAATATGAAGTCCCATTTGAAGGAGAAAACTTTTAAAAAGTTTTTACAGCAGCATCCTCGTAGTTAGAATAGCTTCTGGGTATAGACCACTCTGCAGATGCATGAGAAAGGACTGTCAACTACCCCATAGCACTAGCCAGTGTGCCTTGTATGTCATGGACCCATATGGCCATTCCCATCAAGCGTGCCTTTAAGGGGAGGGAAAGTCTCTTCTTTTTTATTTTTCTTTTTTTTTTTTTTCATCCAAGTAAATGAGAGAGCTTGCATTAACTTTCATGATGTTACACTCTTGTCACATTCTTCTGTTATGTGGGAAGGCTCTCCGAATATATGGCAGATTTTCACCTCTATGTATTTCTTTGTTTTATTGGTTCTTTAACAGGAAATTAACATTCAAGCAACACATCAGCTGGGCTCCATCTGTTGGTTTGAAACATTTTACCCAGTCTCATGCATTTGAATTTAAAGGAAGAAATATTAAAATTAAATCACAATATATTAACCCTTTATCTTCTAATGAGAACTTTGTATATTTATGGTGACATAAATAGTCTTTGCAGTTGCACTTGTTAGCTTGACAGTTAATTGTAAGCGAAGTACACTGCCTGCTCTGTTACTGCTTGCAATGTCTTGACCCTGATGTGCAGATCTTGATGAATGCTCCAATGGGACCCACCAGTGCAGTGTGAACGCTCAGTGTGTGAACACCCCAGGGTCATACCGCTGTGCCTGTGCAGAGGGATTCACTGGGGATGGATTTACTTGTTCTGGTAAGAAGTTTCTGTGAAAGCAGGCTTGTCACTGATTGTTTCTGTTGTATGGAAGCTTTGCAAATTAGATCTAAGCCCAAAGTGCAAGATAATAAATGCAATAGTGTCTTTTAAGATCGGGATTCTTCCTATCTGCTGAAGAAATGCTGACAAAGGCAACTGATTGTTCTTTTGATTTGTGTGCCAAATCGGATCCACTGGTCCCTTTTGTTGGGAGAAGTTCCCGTCTACTTCTTCGTTTTTCTCTTTCTGCTCCTTGTCCTACTCTTCATGCCAATTTTTTTGAATATGCCTGTGCTGCTTGCAGCAGCAGGCTCTCCAGTCAAGAACACAAAACACCAGCTCTCTTGTTATCGTTCCTGTCTTGTACGCCAGATCTGTCTCTGGTAGGGAAGGCATCATCTGTTTTCCACTCACTGTGTTAGTTGAACAGGATTTAATCATTAAGTAATCATAATAATTAATAGGACTTTCTAAAAAGAAAAACAAATTACAGTTGAAAAATATTGCCCATGACCTCTGCCTTTAAATTTGTTGGTAAATGCTCACTATTAAGAATGAACATTGTTTAGCACACATCAAGTTATTCAAAGTAAGCTGACATGTAAAGGATTGTATAAAGTGTAAATATTTTATATTAAACATTAATGGTCAAGTACTGAGTTACTGGTTTCTTACCAGTTACAGAGTAGAGATGCAACAGTATCTCTGCTCTTGACTTCTAACATGTCCTGTATGTGGTCAGCAAATTTGAAGGTTTGAAGGAATGCATCCTAATGATAGTAAAATAGCTAGAAACTAATATGAATTGATTCATTATTAGCTAACTGGCTAATTTTAAATCAAAATTAATATACACCTTAACAAGACAGTCTTCTGATTAGTATTGTATTTTTTTTTATTTCAGAATAAGGATCTTCAAATATTACTTGTTTATGTGGTTCAAGTTGGTGGTTTATGAACTAGAACTTTCATCCCTATTATTAACATACTGTGTTTCAGATCTTCTGTTTTTTTAAAAATCACATGGGACACTAGGGATTGGCTAATAAAATGAAGAAAGTATATTGAAAATTAATTTGGACAATCATAAGCATATCTGATGGAATTATGAGTCCTTATGCAATGGTGAATGTCTGCCTTTGTTATTCTGCTCTTTTATAGCTCTTAAAAAAAAAAAATCTCTTTTGGGCTGTACTAGAAGAGTCCCCAGTAGTGTGCAAATGGTAGTTGTAATGTTCAAAATCTTCAAAGAATATTTTACAAAATGCATATGAAAATAATTCTCTATGTATGATTCGCTTAAGAAAATCTGCCTTTTGAATGTGTTTTATGTTAAAGTAACATAGCAGTATACACCAGGAGACAAAGTATTCAATTTATTTATCAGCACTAATAGTATTGAATCTGAGAACCTTGCATTATTTAAAAAAAAAAAAAATAAATGAAAAACAAGGAGTAAGGAATCATGGCAGGGTAAAAGGAATAATTTTAGAAATTACATTATGTTTGCTTTTCTCCATTCTTTATCTTCAGGTGTAAATGTTTTTGTTTATGTCGACAATACTCAACAGCATTATTCTTTTCAATATAAGGATAATATTATTTGTATTTTGCTAGTGAAACACATAGAATATTTCAAAGAAATTTTCTGTCTTCCACAGATGTTGATGAGTGTGCAGAAAATGTTAATCTGTGTGAAAATGGACAGTGTCTGAATGTCCCTGGTGCCTACCGTTGTGAGTGTGAGATGGGATTCACTCCCGCCTCAGACAGCAAGTCATGCCAAGGTAAGCCACTGGTACTTCAAGTTCATTTTCTGAATTTGGACTGGCTGCTATAAAGCAAGCCAGAAGTGCTGGAAGGTGTGATTTCTTCAAGCAGGGATTATTTTGCAGTGTGACTTATGTTGAAGGTAGCTTTCACCTTTTTATGAAGTTTTCCTGGTCTTGGTCCAAAAATCCCACAGTAGAGGTTTGGCTCAGTAATCTTGGGGTTTTTTTAATTATTTTTCTTCTTTTTGTCACTAGTGAATAGTGCATCGAAAAATCCTGTGTTCATCACTGTTTTATTTAATGTGTTTACATAGGAGACACAAGCAGCATTAAGTGACCTCATTTGAAAGAAATGTTTTCAGGAAATTGAAGTAGGCAAATCACTGGTCTATTTGACAAGTTTGTAACACTCCTTAAAATGCATACTGGAGATTTTTTTATTGTCACCTTTTCACTCTCAATATTATACCAGATAATCTGAAGCACAAAAGGAATTATTATCTTTCTAGTCCAATTCAGCTTCTATTCCCTGTTGTGTCCTTATGTCTTTTTTTTTCTTTAATAAAGAGAACCGTATATTAGATAAAGTCGTTTTAGCTGGTGCTCCAAAGCTTTTTAACCTATTTCATATTTAATGGTGGAAACCTCATAATGTCTTAGGAAATTAAAATTCTTGATGAGCTATTAAAAACAGATTGCAAAACGTAATCTTTAAAATTCAGTCCATAACTTGGCATATTCAAACATGCAGGTCTACATGTATGAATCAGATTTCTAGCTGAAGAAGAATTCCAGATGCTTCTGGAAAATTAGCTACACAACTTTTTTGATCAGATCTGTTAACATTTACCAAGTATTGTTAATCATCTTTACTGAATTTCTCAGTGCAGCTCAGTTAGTTAGTCATGTTATAGTCATGCCAATGTTCTAATAAAAAAAACCAAATAAATATCAGCTAATCAGTGATTTGGAAAAAACTATGCTTCTAATTCTTGGGACAGCGGGTCACCAACATTTGGCTTTTCAATTGGTCTACAATGATGCTCTGAAAAATAAATTGAGTTTTGGAAGAATGCTTGACATATTACTGTGTTTCCAACAGAGATCTGAAAGAATTCCATGGATTAAATTGTGCTGTTGGAGGACTAAAAGATCTGGGTGCTGAATACTTAGAAGGGGTTTTTTATTTGTTTGGTTTTTTGAAGTTGATATATTAATTTGTCCTATGATAAGGTGACTCCTTGGCTGATTTCTTCAAGCAAGGGACAAAATCCAAAGCCTAGATTTAGTACAACAATTGTAATATAAATAATTCATCCAATTGCTTGAGAAATCCCTTGAGATATCAGTACATGAACTTCTCAATGATAGAGTCTTCTCCATAACTTTATAAAGCTTCATCTGAACACAAGTTGTGTTCATTAACCTGATTTGTAGGTCATTCCATGGCTGTCCTCCAGGGTACTTAGAAAGCTTGCTTTAACTTCCAGTTTAAATTTACTCAGGACTGTTGCATATTAAGCATTTATATTAAATTTCATTTTCCCTTAAAAATTTCTCCTCTCTCCCCCCCTCAAAAGTTACCCCTTCTCATATGTTCCTGTAAAGAGGCATTATACCACTTCTCAAGCTTTGGCTAAGGCAAGCAAGCCAAGTTCAAAATAGGTATTTCATTAATCATTTTAATATTCCTTTTTTACACCTTGTCCAATTTTAGTTCATCACTCTTGAACAGAGCGCTGTACGCAGAATTTCAAATGAAGATTTAGCTGTGCATTGTAAAACGATATTAATGCTTTCCACTTTCCTGTCTCTGCTAAAAATAGCTCCCTAATACATGCTAGAGTTGCATTGGCTTTTGCAGAGCTGCTCTATTTTGGCAGCGCAGAAACCTTGCTATCAGACAGTTTATGCGTTTTTTTTTTCCCTCTTATGTAACTTACCTCAACTCAGAAGTCCTTTCTAGTTTGTGTCTAAAACCACAGCTTTGCAGTCTGAGCTGTTAATATTTAACTCCTTTTCTAGCACAGTAGTTGACAAAGTCATCTAATTTGCTGTCAGTGTCTTTTAACTTTATTTCATCTTCAACTTGCATGAGCACACAGGCAATCCTTGAAGTGCATCTTAGCTCACCTGTATGTAGTTACTATATAACTGGTTTAACATGGTCTTGAGAAAATTATAGATAATTCTTACTTCCTGTATTCTTTTTTGCTGTATTCTTTCTCCAAGGAGATGTAAGTAACTGTCAATACCTACTCCCTCTCTTTCTTCTTAGTATACTTTTTTTCCCTGAGAATGGTATTTTGAAATCTTAATGGCCATTAGTGAGAAATGTTGCGGACTGTGACCTAGGAGATGGCTGGCACATTTGTATGGTGTTATGCTTCATTCTGTTTAATGCACGTTTTGAAAGGAACTTACTGGCTTTTTGACTTAGCTTTCATTTTGAGTCCTGAGAAGTCAGTTTTGCTATTTTTACTTCACACTAGGTAAAACAGGAATAAGTAACAAGCAGCTTAGTGGAGAATGGCTCACAAATCCCTAGCTATAGCATTCTGCACAAAATGAAAAGTGTTACTCAATGTTACTTTCTTAATTTTTTTTTTTCAAGTTACATGTGTCTTCATTTGCTTTTAGTAGTACAACATACTATTGTAATATTAATATGGTAATGATATGGAACTTTCTGTTCTTAATATATCACTTCAGATATCGATGAATGTGCCTTCCAGAACATATGTGTATTTGGTACCTGTAATAATCTACTGGGAATGTTTCATTGTATCTGTGATGATGGCTACGAACTAGATCGAACCGGGGGAAACTGTACAGGTATATTTCTGTTCAGAAATATGTCAAGACTTACTGGGTTTTTTTAGTTGCACCGAGTTAATTTAACGATGAGTTCACAAAACACACATTGTATTCTCTTACAACAGTGAGAGTGCATTTTTCCCCACTGAACAAGGTAGATTTGCATACTTTGGAGTAAGTGCTTAAAAATGGAACAAAAAGAATGGATTCTTAAGTATGCAGCTGTACAAAGGTTAATCCTAAACGTTCAATGAATTGTTAGTACTTCTTTTGCTTGATTTCGGCTAAAACATCACTTGCATTTGAAATTTTATTGTCCATTTTGTCTTAAAAGGGAAAATTATTCTTCTCTGCCCAGTGAGCAGATTTGTAAACATAATCTTCCTATTTTAGATATCGATGAATGTGCCGATCCCATTAATTGTGTTAATGGTCTTTGTGTAAATACTCCCGGAAGGTATGAGTGTAATTGCCCTCCAGATTTCCAGCTGAATCCTACCGGAGTGGGTTGTGTGGGTAAGTAAAAGCAACCTGAAGCACTACTTTAGAAATGACAGCCACGGTGACTATTTTGATGCAAATTGGGGTAGCAAGACAGAAAAACTATACTTCCACATGCTGCGTATCCTGTTATATCGTTTTCCAGAGGGGAGTTAATTATTTTAACTGATAATGGTGTTTATATTTTCTCTAAAAGACACTTTCTTAAAATTTGTCAAAATATGTATTATCTGCATTTCCATTTTCCTGACAGTCAACACTTTTCATTTAAAAAAATTGTTTTTTTCATCCTACATGTGTCTTGAGGGAAATTTATGTGCTTAGCTTAAGTTTAAACTGGAATTAAAACTGGTTGGTTGCCCATTTGTCTGGAAATAAAGTAAAAGGTATGTTTCACTGTAGTTCTCCCTGGCTTACACAGACTTATAGGGAATTTTCATTACTTTTGCCACTTGCTACATGATATGGGGTTGTCATGTGATAAGAGTATATATTAGCAGTCTAGGGAAGTTTCAGGAACAGGGCAGTTGAGAGAGGGGCTAAGGTTCAGTTTCAGTCAGTGGCAGAGCTGGAATCCACTTGCCTGTCTGTGGGAGGAGCTGCAAGCCTCAGGTGTGCACTTTTCATCTCTCTACAGCCTGATTCTATGACAAAGTGCAAAAAACACTCAGTGAACATTCAGCTTTTGTTTTTGACAGGGGCAAGTAAAGCCTCTGCTTCCAATGAAATAGGATCAGAATAAGGTCCTAGAAATAAAGCCCTAATTCATGAATGAAATGACACTTTAGTGCCTGCTTTTTAAGAAGCCCTTGAAGAGATGGGGCATCATGTGCAACTAAAAACGTATTAGTTACACTATTTTGTACAATTATAGGCATCATTGGGTTTTGAACTTCTGTTCTTTCACCAGCAGTTCTCATTTGTAGTATTTCCAGGGGGTTAAATGATTTTGTATGCAAAGTGGAAATGGGGAGAGTTGCCATTCCAATGCAGCTACACTAGTTCTGGTTCTGGATTATGCAGTCCAAAGAGGGAAGAACTGAAGTTCAGTTTGCTTGTGATTTTTTATACTCCTAGGACTGCAATTCCAAATTGTAACTTCACTTGCAGTGACCTTTGTGTCACTGGCAAAACCCCAAAACGTTTTCACTCTAAGCTTATAGTCATTTGGAAAAAAAACCTCACAGAGGCTAGTAAACCTCACCAAGAATAAGGAAAGTTTCTGGGTTCTGGAATGCACAAGCTGTACTGAAAAATGTTCCAGTAACTTCTTGTCAAAGGGCAGCAGCTTCTGTTTCTTTTCAATAGCACTATCTCTTGCACACTTGAGCAAAAAAAGGTGGAGGAATTTGAATTCCAGTTCCTTTCAGAAGAAACAGAAATATTATCCTTGGCGAAGAGGGACATGGTGGCTTTTCAAGACAGTTCATGTGAGGAGTAACTGAAACGTAAAAACTCTTGATGGACTTGGTATCAATATTCTGCTAGAGAATTCCAGGATCTGCCTTCGTTCCAAGGTCTGTCATCTCCTATTGTTCTTAATGGGCCTGAGGTCTTGGGCTGAAGCTGTCTTCCGAAATGGTCATTGTTTTTCACTTTTCCCAAGAAGAAGGACGAAGCCAAATCTCTTCTTGGCTTCTCTTAAAAGGCAGATGTGTCGTGCTATCATGAATGAAGAGAAGCATGCAGTTCCTCTGAGAGCAAGAGGAGATAGGTATTCTCAGAATAACCAACAATCCAGTAATTTGGGTTGTTCCAGCTCAAGTCCAAAATGAGAACAATAGGATGTGCCTTTTTAACAAGGCAGTTCGTTTTACTGTCTCCTAATATCATCTTTTTTTTTAAAAGAAAAAAGGACTTCCACTCTAATATATGCTGATCAGTGATCTCGGGTAAATCTTGCCTCTAGGGAGATAAAGATGTCCTGCTTGAAGTTTCTTCTCTTTCCATCAGAGGCTCAGGGTAAAGAACACATATGTTTCTGCCACTCAATCCTTAATTGAGTATTGTAGCTTTACAACAGCGTGCATTTATGGCAATACTGAAATTTGTTGTAGAATATGTGGGGCCCGGGAACACCCTCTTTCACATCTCTGCTACAGTATGTTCTTAAAATTGCAGAAGGATTCAGCCAAGCTTAAATTTGAATAAATTTAAATCCTTTGGAAAGCTTGAAGATTTTCTCTTGATTGATGTTAAGACCCTTTAAAAAAATTCAGTCTGAAAATTAATGCAAAGTCGTGTTTTCGTATTACACATATTTAACTAACTTGAGGATCTTGAGAACAGACATTTCCTAAAAATTCAAAAAGTTACCTTCAAGTTTTTTTCATAGATAGGTCCTAGACCTCAGGGTAATTAAAAAAAACATGTCATATCAAGATGTTTGTTAAATTTTGAAAGTATGAACTACCTACATTTATCATACTGTGTTCATTTTATTCCATTTAAATTGCTAAGGGTGTATCATCTGGCATTTGTTGAAAGCAGTAAATTAAAAATGTGGTATTTCTTGGTAAAATATACATTTAGGAAATAATTCAAAAATTCATTTGTAATTTTCTGAGTCATACCAATACCAGGAATAGTAAAAATGCAAAAAGATAGTGCAGCCTTTATACAACGAATTTATAAAAAAATTTTTGAGTGAGTTTCTGTGGTTCTTTAGAGGCAACCTTTGAGAGCATGTTAATTCATAGAAATTATCTTTAGAATTATAATGCTACTCTTGAGGAAATTAATTATTTGGCTGTAATAAGAAATACTATAATACTTTACTGTCCTCTCATTTCTTTATGTTTATGACTTAATGTTAGTCACTTTCCATTTATAAAGAACAAGGAGACAGCATGTGGAAAAAAAACATAGCAAGAAAATTCATTAACTTTACTTCTCTTAGATTCCTTGTTCATTCTACTGACACCAGCAGTTGTCTAAATCATTAAGTTACAGTTTGGGTGAACTAATAAACTAATCTTCCCCAAACCTACTGCACATTTAGATTGTTTGTTTCCATATTAATTATTTTTGAAGAATGTATTTGGCAGTGGAAGAATTCTTTCAGTGACACAACTTTGTTCTGTGATTCCATAGAAAAATATGTAAATTCTTCTAATTCCACATGAAAGAGTCATAGCCTAGTCACGTTCAGAATATGGAGAAGAAATACTAGCAGCAAATGGCGTCAAGGTTTCTGATATGTTCTGGAGTGAAAGACTGGGAATAGCGTATGTGGTATATTAGAGTATGGTCTGGCTTTGGAAGACATGCAAACATTTTAAACTCTTCTCTGGGTACTTACGAAGCTGAAGCTACCCTTCTCCCTGTTGTCTCTCTCAACATCAGTAACGGTCAATGTACATGAGTGTTTTGAGCTTGCCAGTGTCCAAAAGCACAATGTTATCTGCATTCCT